GCACCTGCGTAGTTCAGTCAGTTAAGGGCCCGACTTTAGCTCAGGTCATGATTTCATGGCTCATGGGTTTGAGCCATGCGTCAGACTCTGTGCTGATAGCTCATAACCTGGTTCTATGAATCCCTCTCTCTCTGCTGCTCCCCTCCTCACATTCTGTCTCTTTCTCAAATATAAACATTAAAAAATATTTAAAAAACAAATTAAGCATTAAATTGAAGAAAGTAGAAGAATAATGCAGTCAGCCTAAGCAAAGTGAAGGAAGGAAGCCAAGAGAAAAAAATTAATAAAATAAAAAACAGTATCAAAGATCAACAAATCTAAATGCTGGTTCTTAAAAAAAAATAATAAAAACTAGTAAATAGACATCTAACAAGATTGATCAAGAAAAAAATATATAAGGGGCCCCTGGGTGGCTCAGTCTGTTAAGCGTCTGACTTCAGCTCAGGTGATATCTCATGGTTCATGGTTTTGAGCCCGGCTGTTCAGGCTTTGTGCTGTTAGCTAAGAGCCTGGAGCCTGCTTCAGATTCTGTGTCTCCCTCTCTCTCTGCACATCCCCTGCTCACGCTCTGTCTGTCTCTCTCAAAAATATATAAACATTTAAAAAAATTTTTAAAGAGTAAAATTAAAGACAATATTGACTACTGAAACCCAAGAGCTTTAGAGTTTATACTCTTAACTATGTTACACCGACTTCCAAAGGAAAATGGTAGGGACACTAAATCATTAAATTTGATAATTAGGTGTAATATGAAAATGATAAAATTTTCTGGGCAAAAATAAATGTCAAAACTCAAGAAGATCTAGGAAACTTACACTCATGAAAGAAATTGAATTATCAGAAATTCTCCTTTCCCCTTCTTGTCCCTACTGAAAGGCCAAGAAAGTTTACAGGAAAGTTTTACCATGCCTTCATAAAAGTAAATTATTCCCTGTATTGTATCTCCTATGTCAGAAAATTTAAAAAGGAAAAATATGTTTTAAGCAACTTATTGTATGAGACTGATAGCAAAACTGGACTTGGACAGTGCCAACAAAATTTTTTTTTTTAATATTTTTATTTATTTCTAGGAGAGAGAGAGAGAGAGAGAGAGACAGCGTGAGCAGGGGAGGGTCAGAGACAGAGGGAGTCACAGACTGAAACAGGCTCCAGGCTCTGAGCAGGCAGTCAGCACAGAGCCCGACGCGGGACTCGAACCCACGAACCGCGAGATCATGACCTAAGCGAAAGTCGGATGCTTAACCGACTAAGCCACCCAGGCGCCCCAAATAAAAATATTTTTAAAAAATGTTAAAAAAAAGTTCGGATTCAGTTGCAATTGATGGTGTCTCTATCTCACTTAGCCTAGTAATAATAAAAGCAGTGTTTTTCACTTAGCAATAATATTTATAGGCTGTACAATTAAACTGGTGAGATTACTTTATCTCACCACCAGTAAGTGGTTTTACAGATTGTAAGGATGTCTGTGAGGGAAAAAAATGAAACTGTCTACTCCAACTAACTCTTTTTTTTTTTTTTTAAACTCCCAACTAACTCGTAATTCTAATTACCATTTTATGCAAAGATAAAATGAATGTGGTATGAAATAGAAATGTGAATGGAAGGATTTTTGTGTATGTGAAAAAATCCCTTGAACTTACTAAGGTTGCCTCAGTCTGAATTGAAATCTGTTCCCGTTTTAGATCCTGTTCAGAGCTTTCAAGTACACACTGCTTAGCCAAACAGAATCTTAGCTTTCAAAGCTAAGGTAATGTCGCAGACTCATGGTGTAGTCCAGTTTTAGTGTTTACTGGTAACCTGGACAGAGCACGTGGCATGTGGTATTCTCTATCACCCACCCCTCTCCTCCTCACCACAACCCCATTTCACAATCTGTGTTTGCATTTTATGGTTTGTTTATCTTTCCTCTTCTCCTAGGAAGCTGGAGTTTTCTTTTTGCTGCTCAAATTGAAAATTATTTAAGTGAAAATAAAACCACAAAGATTTAGGGATGTTTTCATTCAGGAAAAAAACTGAACATTTGAGTTAAAGTGTCTTTGAGTTACTTTTAACATTGTTTATGTAGTTTTAGTGTTTTGGTTTCGTTCATTTGCACATTTCACTATTTAAAATATTGCTATTGTAATATTTGTAGTAGTCTCATCCACCCTGTATCTCCCAGACTTATGATTTTTCTTACTTTCACCTCTTTGATAGACTGTAAACGCTAATATTTAAGAGAGGAGTTTCCTGGGCTATGTTACCAGATAGACTGTAATTTCTGCCTCATTTCAACTTCAGTGTGTCAGCTTGATAGGAGGAGACAGGTGGACATTCTGCTGACCAGTATCTGATGGGGAGGGTGGAGGCCGGTGATGGATGGCTGTGTCTGATGACAAAATAAGCATTTCCATGAATATGAGTGTGCAGAATAAAATTGGGACCAGCAGATGGTAGGGCTATGCTGTATCTTATTTCTTCTTCAGCTCTGAGATTTTCTGTGGCCGTCTTTTCACAGAAGCCAGCTGGGATTGTCTATTAACTGCCAGCACACATTGGTTTGGGTAGAAGGGACTTGTTGCTTTCTTTAGAATTTGTTCAGCCTCTCATTTTCATGTATGGCTTTATGTTCATCTGGTGGTAAAACATGATATTTAACAGCAGAATACATGAGAACTGACCTTTCCTTGGAGAACGTCCCAGTTAGATCCCATTTCCACAATATGATTATGCTCTGACATCTGGCTTTTTTCATCTTCCTTTTTTCTTTAATCCTCTGATATTTTAAATTTCTGTGATCTCTGCGATTGCCACTTCAGATCTCATTACTGAAAGTTCTTTTCATGTTGTGAAGAGAAGAAACATTCCTCAGAAAACACCAACACAGAATATAGAGCTGTAATATAAACTTAAATCTCATGAACCTGTTCATTTTAGCTTTCCTTTGTAATATATTGAATTTAATTTTTTGATCCAGGGTACCTTTAAGAAACATGTTTTGGTGTGATTTCTCAAACTTACCTGCTAGTTCTGCTATAGATAGAATAAGATTCATTATAACTAACATTGCCTGGGCTGGCGTCAAGATGTTCTTTAGTATTTGAGAAAGGCAGAAACTATAGGTAGGTTCACGTGAGGGACAGAAGCATGGAAATGCATCTTGGAGTCATGCTTGCTGTATATCCTCAAGAGGTCCAGGCTCTAAGAGAAAAGAAGATTCACCTCACACATGTGCTGCTTATTTTAATGTTCTGTAGTTGGCTTCTTTCAGAAGCAGTTTGAATTGGATAGAGATTTAATGATGTGTGAACTGTTAAAAATAAGAAAGTAAGTTTGTGGCTGAGAACAGAGATATAAAAAAGGGGAGGGGGCCAAGTGGTAAAATAAAAGGCAGGTCAGGAAGAATGTGGTCTGTATAGCTGTCTTTAAGAGAGATATTGTTGAAGTATAGGACAGTCGAACTTTAGACCCCTATTCCTGAATTTGAGGAGGCGGGGGGGGGGGCATGAAGCTTTACTCAGAAAGCCATCTTAAGTGCATCCTGCCTTGTTCACATAATGTGGTGTGAAATGTTCACTACAGTTTGAGTTAGAAAAGGAGTGTGGAAAATACCCTTGCTGACCTTGGGAGTTTCTTCTTTAGCTGTCTTCGCTGAGTAGGTTACCAAAAGCCATCTGGGACCACAGTGAAACCCAGGACTCTGGAATTAATATGACCTGTCACAAAGGCACAAGCGTTTGTGATACTGCTCTTGGAGAATGACCTATATTGCTAGAATTGATTCAGATTGTCTGGCTGACTAGAAAAGTTCTGTTTCCTTTTTCACTGCTGTATGTGCCTCCCCTCCATGTATGAAGAATTGCAAGTATTGGGGCACCTGGGTGGCTCAGTTGGTTAAGCATGCAACTCTTAATTTCAGCTCAGGTCATGATCTCACGGTTTGTGGGATTGAGCCCCTTGTCAGGCTTTTCTCTGACACTGTGGAGCCTGCTTGGGATTCTCTCTCTCTCTCTCTCTCTCTCTCTCTCTCTGTCTCTCTCTGCCCCACCCCCACTCACACACTCTCAAAATAAATAAATAAGCTTTTTAAAAAAGTGAAGAATTGCTAGTATTAAAAATATAGTAAAAAAAAAGAATAGTTAACTAGAATTTAAATAAAAATTTGGGGAAATAAAGAATATCTGTATATTTATGCATTTATTTACCTGAGATGTTTAAGGAATGGCCATAGCTAAGTCCAAGTCCTTCCCTGAGGTTTTCTGAGCTCTGTTATTTTCCTCTGCTTTTTGGCAGCTTTTTGCTTTGACTTCATCCTCAGACAGGCTCTTCCTGCTAGTAGATAACAAAGATACTCAGCTTCCATCCCACCAGCTTAGAAACCTCAGCAAAAAAGAATGTCTCTTTCCTCTAGTAGTTCCAACAGAAATCCCAGAACTGACTTTCATTTGCCTCATTTGTGTATATTCCCATCCCTGATCCGGTCACTATAATGTACCGGTTAGGCCTGGCTCTTTTTATCTCAGGGGCTTGAGGATAGGGTTAGCCTCTCCTAAACCGTAGAGAATAAGGAGAGGCAAATGGAGGTGCTGTCAACATTAGAAGAGGAAGGGGAGGGATGCCTGGGTGGCACCATCGGTTAAGGAATCTGATCTGACTCTTGATATCAGCTCAGCTCATGATCTCTCAGTTCAGTTCGTGAGTTCCAGCCCCTCATCAGGCTCTGTGCTGACCGTGTAGAGCCTGCTTGGATTCACTCTCTTTCTCTGCCCCTCCCCTGCCCACACACAGATGCTCTCTCTCCCTGTCTCTCTCTAAATAAATAAATAAACTTAAAAAAAAATAGAAGAAAAAGGGGATGCTGGAGCATCAGAAACAACCAAATATCCACCATATCTGTCCCCAAAGCTATTTAGTGGGAGAGGACTTTCCTTCAGCCCAAAGTGCACTAGCAGCTGGGTTCCTGAGACAGACTTTTACTCTTGAGCCTAACCCCTCTTTACACTGCCTCTATTTTGCCACAGGTACTTATTTCCCAAGTTTACACTGTGCTGGACTGAGTTTGTAGACATGAAGATTCATGTGCCCTGTGAAACCATTGACTACATTGAAGCCAACTATGGTAAGACCTGGAAGATTCCTGTGAAGACATGGGACTGGAAGCGCTCTCCCCCCAATGTACGGCCCAATGGAGTCTGGTCTATTTCTGAGTGGGATGAGGTTATTCAGTTATACTGAGACAGTAACTCAAAACAGTAGAATTCCCCATCTGAAACAAAGGTAGATAACTGTTTAAGAAGATACATCTTTATTTGTCAAACGTAAATAGGAGCCAAAGATGTATGTCAAGTTTGAAGACGCAGAGAGTCTTAGCCTCTGAGCCATCTGATTTGATCCTCTCATTTTACATTTATTAAGGAGCCCCCATGTGCCAGGTGCAGTGCTAGGTTACAGTAGAAGAGCAGAGGTGAGTGAGACATACTTGCTCTCTTCCCCTTCATGTTGGTAAAGCACCTCAATTTTCCTTGGAGGGAAACGCTCTCACCCTGTGAAGAGCTCATACAGAATACAATGTTCTTTCAAAATGTTAGATAATGTCTGGACTGGAACACAGGTTTATCGGGCAAAGCTAAGGAAGGATATACTAGCAGAAAAGAATGCCCCGTTCCTGTTCTCAGCAGTTAAGCTTGTACATTAGTGCTGCTTTTAAGGTTGTAGAGTCTGAGTTAATATTTAAGTGATCAGACCTTAGGTGCCATCAAGAAAAGATGCCAACAGATTCATTTTACAAGGAACCTGACATGGAATTCATCTAGGGCACAGGACATCATTCTATAAGAGAATGAGAACTTCTTTCTAACTTTGTCAAAGATATGCAAATTTCCGTACATTTTCTATTTTTATATTTGAAGTGAAAAGAAAGCTTATGCTTGTGTGAAGCTTAAATTTCCAGCCATTGTGAGAATATTTTCACTGACCTCTATAGCACTTGTTAACAAATCATTCAAGTGAGATCATGCTACCAGACAGGATTTTGAAAGGGTTGTGATTTCATGAAACTTACTTTCCTTATTTCATTACCAACCATCTGTTAAGTAAAAATATGAGCTATTCATGGACTTTAATATTTTCTGAATTTATAATCATTGCATTCCCACTTTTAATGTTCACACTAAAATATTAATAGAAATACCTCTAATTTTTCTAATTGTACTCTTCAGTGTACTCATTTATCAGGTATAGCTCCATATCTTTCATTTATGGCCTATAAACCAATTTAAATGGTGTATAAACCTACCTGTCCCCTCTGCTCTTCCAATAGTATCTCACATCTCCAAAGTTAAGATAAATGGCACACCTGACAGATGCTTTCTCCCCCATCCCACCCCTACATCATAGTGTTTGTAAAGTTTGTGTCCATTCCAGTTCTATCTAAATGTTCTATCTGTTGCATATTGACGGGACAAGAACTCAGACTTCCCTGCTTTCTCAAATACCACCCATTTTGAGACCCTTTAGTTTCCTTTTCCCCCTCAAGACATGTTTCTGAGTGGGCCAGGATAGCTCTGTCTCGATCATCTCTTCATGGGTCACTTTAATTACATATTCCAAGTGAGAGGCAAAAGTGTACATAGTCACAATAAGCACTGCTTGCTTTTTCTTTGTCCAGGAAAGGAAGCTAAATCTTACATTTTGTTTAGGCTGCTTAGGACAACTTTCTGGACAAGATCGCAGATTTTCCTCTAAAACCAGAGAGTAATAGGAGTGTCAGAATTGAAAACCAGAAGGTCTGAGGGAATGGGCTTGACTGAGTTTTCCTAAAACAAAGTTGGAAAAGTGACCAGCAACTACCCTACTCCATACTTTCAAAACACCAAGAGCTTTTTTAAATAAATGGTAACCACTGACCTTCCTCTCTTAGGATGAGCTTTCAATGCATCATTATTGGGTCTTTTCATAACTAACATAATTAGGTTTTTAGAGACACATGCAGATTACCAGTAAACTTGTCCCCAGATAATAGGCTATTGTAATCAGCTTCCCCGTTGCTGGAAAACAAGCCCATAGAAATCATACCCAAATTCTAAATAGCTGAACCTAAATTAATTTTTCATGGTTGAAAAAATATCAGATAATAGTGTTCCTGGGCAGAACCTAACTGCTTAGTAAGGACCATTTGCTTGTGCTTAGCATCTAGAAGTGCATATAAAAGTGCATATGCATTTCTTCCCATTTCAAATTAGGGCTTCCACTGTTGGCCAAGGAGTCTTACCCTCTCCTGTTTAGATTTTTTTCCTTTTATCTGCCTCTGGAGTCCAAGGTCTCGAAGTATCCAAAATAAGATGGCTTGGCCTCATTGACAGAGGTTTTATATCCTTCCCTACAGAGACCACTGGCAGCTGAAGTACCTTTCTTGACTACCTTCTGGTTTCACAGGCTTCAGCTCTTGAGTCCTACCCTAGCTTGAGGGAATGAAAGCTTTTCCCCACACTCTGAATGCCAGGCTTGCTTCTGATACAAAGTCAGCCCATACTTTATCCTGTGCTTCTCAAGAGTTCTTAACTGTGCTGAGTGTCCAGAGGCCTTGGTTTGGGTGAATCTACCATTGCACCTCATCAGATCACTTTTTTTTCTTCACCTGAGTATTCCAACAATAGTTCTCCTAATTAGGCCACCTTGAGGTCTACTTGGGTGTACCAAAAGAAAACCTCTTATAATAACTTAGAAGTTAGGCATCCGTGGATGTCTCCACAGAGATTCCGAGAGGCAAGATTGATAACCTCCCACTTGACAACAGGTGGCCACTCTTCCTTCTCAAGGCAAGGAGCACTTGGCCTTCTTTCCTCTGCTACAGCTACTGACATCTGGCCCCTGGAATAAAACTGCAGTTCTCAAAATCAGGCATCCCTAAGAAGCTGGGCAGTGGGATAGCCAGTTTGATTCCCTAGCTATAAACCCTGAAAGATGACCACTAGATGGCAGAATGTCTACCACTATCATCCCCAAACAAGTTAATTCTCAAGGGAAAACCATCTTGCTCTTGAGTCTTAAAAACTAGAGAGTCATATTCTTTCTATTCTTATTTTATAGCTAAATCAATAAGTATAGGAGTGATGTGAGAAACAACAGAGGATAAAACTCAGGAGTGCTAAGACTTTGGGCCCAGTCCCTGTTTCATTGCATCACAGCACAGCATTTTAACTCTGCTTGAGATGTGTGGCAGAGAAGTCATCCTGTGCATAGGGACTCAGTTTCAGGGTGTTTCTGCCATTCTTCACTTAATATCTTTCTGCTCAGATTGGGAGCCTGAAGTGACAAAGAGATCAGGAAGAAGTATTTCTTTCTTGTCCAGAATACTTAGGCTGTCTTCATACCTTTATCTGTAAAATGCCATATCTCCAAAAGGTGAAATAGTTCGTCTTTGGAGACATCAGTCTTTGGTCATGGTATTCTTAACATCCAGGAGTTCCTGATTCTCCTAAGCTTGAGATGCATCCCATGGCTGCTTCACTGCTTCTGCTTCCCAGGGACATCATTAACACCAATCTGCTAAGCACCCATTTCCCAAAAGTCCTTCCTCCTTCCCTTTTTGATACCCTTTTATGGATACAAGTAGTTGAGAATGGACTATACTCATTCCTTTCCTTCTTCGTGGCCCCAAACTGTTGTATCCAGTCTTAGCATGGCTACAAAGCTTTAGACAGCACATGGGACAGCAGGGTGTTATATAGTAAAGCGGAGGTTTGTGGATTGGGGACCAAAGCTGCATCTGGGAAAAATTGGAAGGAATTTCCACACTCTAGGCTACCACATCATCCAGTGTCACAAGCCTAAGAAAGTCTCCCCAAGTTTCACCTCCTGGAAAATGAGCAATTCTTTCATCCTCAGTATTACAAATCCCCATGGGAAATGTTCCCTCAAAGACTAGTCAGAGAAAGTGGTGCATTCCCAACTCCTGATACTTAATTATCATGGGAAAACTCTAGTTCCCTGACCAGACAAAAGGATGTCTTTGAAGAAATGTCCCAGCGGGGATTTCTCCTTCCTTCTCCTCTTCCTCTGTCATGAAGACCTGGGCTAGGGCATCTCTAACATTTCACTGAGGGGAGTCAGCATGTTGGTATAAAAAGACCACAAACTTCTGAATTAGGCCTGAGTTTAAATCCCAGCTTCATGATGTGGGATTTCTGGCAGAGGACCTCTCAGCCTCAATTTCCACAGAATGAATTATTAGGATTTTCACTTAGGATAAAATGAAATAAAGTGCTTAGCATTGGGCCTAGGATTACTCAAGAAATGTTCCATTTCCTACTTCCAAATTCCTTTTCTAATTATTCTTCAAATGGGATTAAAGTAACTATGGTTTAGGACACAATCCTTACTGAAGAGGTTAGGTGACTGAATTTGCTTAGGAAAAACATTTGTTTCATTGTATGAAGGCATTAAAGGACAAGTTATATGGTTCATGAATTCAGAGACATTTTCTAGTTGTCTCCTTCTCTAAATAGAACTCGTATTTTCATTTTATTGGTCAAGCTGTTGTCTCCTCAAGTCTCCTTATATAATCCCTTGTGTTATCTAGTAACTTGATCCCAAGGAATTCACTCTGTCTACTTCCCTAGATTTAGTACTTGCTCTGCCCCGAGCTTCTGCTTTAATATTCTAGTATTTTCTAGAAGTAAACCCTCATCTCCTTGTTAGTAATCTCTAACCAGCCAAAATCAGATGTAAGCAATGATTTTTCAGAGGGAACGAATTTAGAATACTTAGTTTCATTTAACCATCAATGCTGATGAATGCCTATATCAGTGTTTTAATAAAAGAGAGATGAAAAATACTCATTTCCACCTTCTTCAGTCAAATTTGTGTTTCTGTCCCAAGCAAGAACCAACAGGGTATGCAATGCTTTTTTAAGCTTCTCCATACAGATTAAAATCTAATGATCGTTTATAAATCAAACAGACCAATTCAATAGTGATACCTCTTCACAGGACCAGTACTGAAGTAGGCAAGTCTGCATTTTCCTAGTGAGAAATCTCTGCTTCTGTATTCTCAGAACTTCTAGGTTAGAATGCCCTCCTTGGCCTCCCCCAACCCAACCCAATGTAGAGATTATGTAGGAACCCATTAGCCAAGCAAGCTGCTGTATACTTATGAGCAGCTCTCATAGTGGGGTTGAAAGGGAGCATGAGGAGATTTGGAAGTACTGTATTTTGTTACATAAAACAATGTACTATCTCCCACAACATCGAAAAAAATTATAAGATTTTGTCATCTTTTGATGACTCATTGAGAGCATGGGGAATAGTTCATGTGTTTGTTAAATGAAAACCGTATGAAGCTATTTGTGTGTCCCTTCCACTTTATAACCAGAGAAACATGATTGTGAATTTTTTAAACAAAGTGGTATTTTAAACATGGGCAAATTTCAGCGTATGCTTACCAGTTTACTATTTGGTTTTATCTTCAGGTACAGGTAGTTTGTGGTACTATTGAAAATACCTTTAGTATTATTATTTTGATCAGAATTTGTAATATATAATCAGTTTGAGATGCTGAATAAAATCTTTTTAATCACATGAGATATTTGTGTTTATTCTTGAAGTTTGCAATAGATATTATTATTACAGCCACTAATTCGTAAACAATCTGGCACAAAAGTCCATCTTGCCACCAGTATAATATTTCTAAAATTAAGGTAAAATGAAGTCATATGGATGGGCCCTAATAGAATCTGACTGCGTCCTGTAAGAAGAGATTAGAATACAGCACAGGCACAGAAGGAAGACTGTGTGAAGATTAGGGAGAAGATGGCCATCTACAAGTCAAGGAGAGAGGCCCGCAGAAGAAACCAGCCCTACCAACACCTTGATCTTGGACTTCTCTATAGAACTGTGAGAAAATAGGGATATCTGGGTGACTCAGTCGGTTGGGCATCCGGCTTCAGCTCAGGTCATGATCTCACAGTCTGTGGGTTCGAGCCCCGCGTTGGGCTCTGTGCTGACAGCTGAGCCTGAAGCCTACTTCAGATTCTGTCTCTCTCTCTCTCTCTCTCTCTCTGCCCCTCCCCACTCGCTCTCTGTCTCTGTCTCTCAAAATAAAAAAATAAAAGACATTAAAAAAGTTAAAAAAAAGAACTGTGAGAAAATAAATGTCTATTTTAAGCCACCAAGTCTTCATTAGGCAGCCCTTGATTGATGCAGTAATCAAGACAGTGTGGTATTGGTAAAGAGACACATGGATCACTCAAGCAGAATAAAGAACCCAGAAGTTGATACACAAATATGCTCAACAGGATTGTTGATCAAAGAGCAAAAGCAATTCAGGGGAGGCAAGGATAGCCTTCTCAACAACAATAACAAAAATAACCTCAACTTGAAATTCATACTTTACACAAAGATGAAATTAAAGGTAATGTTCTTAAATACAAAACTGTGAAACTTTTAGGGAAGAAAGAAAATCTTCATGATATAGGACTAGGCAGAGTTCTTTCTTAAAACTTGATACCAAAAGCACAATTCATAAAAGGAAAAATTGATTAAGTTGGACTTCATCAAAATTCAAAATTGCTGCTCTGCAAAAGCCTACCAAAAGAGGATGGGAAGTCAAGCTACAGACTAGGAGAAAATACTTGCAAACTACATGTCCAACAAAAGACTAGCATCTAGACTATATAAAGAACCTGAACCCTCAACAGCTTAGAAAAATCCAATTAGAAAATGGGCAAAAGACATGAACAGACGTTTCGCTGAAAAAGAACTACAGGTGACAAGTATCCTAAAAAGATGTTCAACATCATTAACCAACTCTTAGGAGTCAAAACCGGTAGCCAAAGCAATCCTGAGAAAGAAGAACAAAGCTGAAGGCATTACATTTGCTGATTTTGCACTATATTATAGTGCTATACTAATCAATTCAGTACAGTACTAGCATAAAAACAGACACAGAGACCAATGGAACAGAATTGATAGCCTAGAAATAAACTCATGGATATGTAGTCAACTAATATTTGATAAAGAAGCCAAGAATACTGAACATAGGAAATATGGTCTCTTTAATAAACGGGGCTAGGTGGCTCAGTTAAGCATCCAACTTCATCTCAGGTCATGATCTCGCAGTCTGTGAGTTCGAGCCCATCATGGGACTCTGTGCCAACATCTCAGAGCCTGGAGTCTATTTTGGATTCTATGTCTCTCTCTCTCTCTGCTCCCCTCCTGCCCGCACTGTCTCCCTCTCTGTCTCAAAAACAAACATTAAAAATGTTTTAATAAATAAAAATAAATGGGGCTGAGGAATTTTGTGTTTTCACTTGCAAAAGAATGAAACTCAACTTCTATATTACGCTACTCACAAAAATTAAGTCGAAATGGATTTACATAAATGTGAGGCTTGAAACCATAAAACACGTAGAAGAAAATGGGAAAAAAATCTCTTTGACATTGCTCTTATCAATGTTTTTTTTTGATATGTCAAGAAAAGCACAAATACAACAAAAATGAAAATAAGTGGGACTACATCAAGGTTAGAAGCCTCCGCACAGGAAAGGAACCAACAATGAAAAATAACCTATAGATTGGGAATAAATATTTGCAAACAATATATCTGATAAGGGGTTGATATGCAAAATATGTAAGGAACTCCTACAACTCAATGGCAAAAAAAAATTAAAAAAGCATAATCTAGTTAAAAGTAGGCAAGAGAACTGAGTAGAAATTTTTCCAAAGGAGATATTCAAGTGGCCAATAAATAGGTACTTGAAAAGGTGGTCAACATCACTAATCATCAGGAAAATGCAAATCAAAACCTCACACCTGTTAGAATGGCTGTTCCCAAAAAGACAAGAGCTAAAAAGTGCCAATGAAAATGTGCAGAAAAGGGAACATATACGCACTGCTGGTGGGAATGTAAATTGGTGCAGCCACTAAGAAAAGAGTATGAAGCTTTCTCAGAATATTAAAAATAGAGCTACCAGCAATTCTACTTCTGGATATTGATCTGAAGGAAATTAAGTCATTATCCCAAAGATATCTCTACACCCTCTGTACATTGTAGCTTTGTTTACAATAGCCAAGATAGAGAAACAACGTAAGTGTCCATCAAGATATGAATGCATAAGAAGATGTGGTATAAATAGAGAATGGAATATTATTTAGCCACAATAAAGAAGGAAATCCTGCCATTTATGGCAATATAAGTGAACCTTGAAGGCATTATGTTAAGGGAAGTATCAGAGAAAGACAAATACTGTATAATCTTGTTTATATGTGGGATCTAGAAAAACAAACCTCAAACAGAGAAGAGATTGGTGGTTGCCAAAGGCAGAGGGTAGAGATGGTAGGAATTGGGTGTAAGTGGTCAAAAGGTACAAACTCCCAGTTACGAGATAAGTTTTTGGGTTATAATGTACAACATGATAAGTCCAGTTAATAACACTACATTGTATATATGAAAGTTGCTAAGAAAATCAATGTTAAAAGTTCTCATTACAAGAGAACAAAAGCCTTGAGCTACGTGAGGTGATGGATGGTCATCATTTCACAATACATATCATCTATTAGATCATTATGTTGTACACCTTAAACTCAAACAATGTTATAGGTCAGTTACATCGCAGTAAAACTGGGGGAAATGTTGCCATTTTTGTTTGTTATAATTTCTTCCATGAACACCTCATAGGCTATTACTGAAGCAAGTATTAACAAACCAGTCCTTGCTCAGCTGATAATTAGAAACCGTTTTCTGTATTGTCACTGAGAATTGACTTCAGTCAGAGCTTGCAGGTAGTTCAGCCTGTGCCCCCAGCTCTGCTTCATCACACTTGGCGTTTGGGGCTCTTAATTTTTACTTTGTACACAAAAATGCAAAGTGTGCTGAATTTCAGCCTTTTCCTCTTCTTAAATGTATACTTCTCCAGAAATTTTGTGGAAATGTCCATCTTTACCAAAAGTCTACTACTTTTATTTCTAACCTAAATTTACACCTTTACCATTTAAAAAAGTTTCCCTATGACTCTTCTCCTCGCTCCATGCAACATATTAAAGCTATCTATAAACTATCTATCTATCTATAAACTGCTGACCCAAGGTGCTAAATGTAACAGCATTTTCTGAAGGGAGTAAAAGTTATCGTTGATAAGGGAGGAGTAAAGATAGAGAACTATAATGCTAATTATTAATACAACTTTTTAAAAAAGATGTTCAACATCAGTAACCATCAGGGAAATGGAAATTACAACCACAAAGAGATATCCCATTGCACACCTATTAGAATGGCTAAGATTTTAAATCATGGTAACACCAAATCCTATAGTTGTCTCTTGTATGGTTTTCTTTTTGCGTGTGTACTGTGCACCTTTGTTTGTACTATGATTTTACCTCTAGTAAAAAAACCAAAAGGTGACTTCACAGACCAAAGGAAAGCCTTTGCTTTTAGGAAGCTGCCCTCGCCTCATGTCATGCCAGTTATCATTCACTATGAGCTATCTTTCCCCCATACCCTAGTGGAAGGCCAGAGAATATGTATAGCGGTACTGTCTAAGTAGAGCATCTGGTGATGCTGGAAATGATCTCTGTCTGCACTGTTCAGTGCAGTAGCCACTAGCCACATGTGATTATTGAGCACTTGAAATGTGGCAAATATAACCAAGAAACTGAATGTTTAACTTTAATTAAATAGCATCATGTAGCTAGTAGCTAGCAGTATTGGATAATGCACATCGCAAGAGTTTGATGGGACCAGCAAGGGCTTAGGAGTTGTACAAATTTGGACTCAAATCCAGGAGCACCACTTTCTAGTTTTGTGATCATGGGCTAGTTATTTAACTTCTGAGTTCCAATTTTTCTCCAACAAATGGGGCTAAAATTAATACCTACCTTTAAAGGTTATTATAAGAAATATAGGGGGGCACCTGGGTGGTTCAGACTTCGGCTCAGTTCATAATCTCATGGTTTGTGAGTTCGAGCCCTGCATCGGGCTGTCTGCTGTCAGCACAAAGCCCACTTCGAATCCTCTGCCCCCTTTCTCTCTGCCTTCTCCCCTACTTGTGCTCTCTCCCTCTTCCGAAATTAATTAATTAAAAAAAAGAAATATAGAAAACCTACAGCTTCTGGTAGATGTTCAATAAATGATAGCTATTGTTAATATTATTATCTTTACTTGCTTTTATTTCTACTTTTGAAATAAATCCTATGAACTTATATTTTCCTAATAAACCCAAGTAATAATTTTTCTGTAAGATTATATATTTAAGAGTATGGTAGAGGACCTTGTCCTGAGGTCTGGTGATAAGAAATGACACTGACCTCAAGGGCACAGGTATATGCTCTGCCTTCTGGGGAGACAGGGCATGGGATTAAAACAACACTTAACAGAACTGAGCCTCAAAGACCAAGCTTCGAAAAGGGGACCAAAGGTCCCAAACTTTGTGGAAGACAGCCTGAGCGTCCAAAGCTAGAAAAAGCTCCAGGAAGGAGGGCAGGGGAGGGACAGTGAGGGACGGTGAGGTGCAGCTGGATCTTAAGACTTAATGAACAGAAAACTTGCATGAAGAAAGGGAAGAAAGCATTTATGAAGAAAGGAAGTC